GTTATTCAATAATTCTGCATCATATACTTTACAAAATAAAACTCACTGATTAGCGGATTTACGTTACTGCACTAGTTTTATAAATTAATGCTTTTAGCGAAATTGTCCTAATTAATAATTCCAGCGCATGACAAAATGTAAAACAAATCGATGTAAACATACAATTCTCCATAATTATGTATAATTAGTAGATTCTACTATGAAAACATTACGTATTTTATGTAATAATTTCAGTTTAGTACACACAAAAATACTACAATCACATCTTGTAGTATATCAACAGAATATATATATATATATTCTGTTGATATACTACAAGATGTGATTGTAGTATTTTTGTGTGTACTAAACTGAAATTATTACATAAAATACGTAATGTTTTCATAGTAGAATCTACTAATTATACATAATTATGGAGAATTGTATGTTTACATCGATTTGTTTTACATTTTGTCATGCGCTGGAATTATTAATTAGGACAATTTCGCTAAAAGCATTAATTTATAAAACTAGTGCAGTAACGTAAATCCGCTAATCAGTGAGTTTTATTTTGTAAAGTATTTATTTATGGACATTCTTGATTAAAACCAACGGCTTGTCTATTAAAATTATTGATCTGGGAAAACATAAAAATTGTTTATAAAAAATGAGACGACAAAATTTCTGGTATGTTTCATGGTTATTTATCACTATTGTTATGACCTTTGCTAAGCTGCGAAAGTTTCGGCTTTCTTAATTTACGGCATCTTCAAAGCTGGCCATGTTCGGAATACACTGAAGAATAGGGAAACTTTTGAAGCTAATTTTAAACAAGAGACACACTAGCTAAAAATTCAACGTGATTCAAGATGGAATTTCCAAAAACTTCAAAAATTATTTTGTTTTCTTACAAAAATTTCGGTTTTTCATTAAGAGTTTTAATGACCAGGTGCATTTACGCTAATGGTAAAAGAACTAAACAACTAATTAACTAATAAATAAATCTTACCACTTCTAATACATCGGCAATTTTTGCTAAAACATCACAACTAAGGTTCTGTAATAAAGGCACAGATCTGAGGAATTTAATATTTTCTTGTAGACGTTGCAGTCCGGTCCTGACCATGATCTGTTGAAAAACTTTTCTGTCGAGCACCCACACTTTCGAATCGGCGACAACTAGAAGTGATAATGAAAAATTTTGTAGTAAATCACTCACTGATAACCTGACTTTGTATATTTTCCAAATTAGTACCAATTAGTTTTGCTAAGGAGCACAATATTTGTGGACAAGAAACCTGTTAAAACACCTGACTATTTACACAGAGAAGGAAATTAATAACTAAATAAAACAAATGACGATGGTACGTGGAATCTCGTTGAAATCACGTGCCTCGACACTCTAATTTTCAGTTTATATATAATTTACATACGCAGATAATGATTCATCTAAATATTTTTGCAGGATCCGAAAAAAAATTATTTATTAATTAAGTAACGGATCCGAGTACAGCAATGTTTTTCGTATTACTTAGTTAACTTTTAATATAAGTGAATATGAAGCAAAGACTCTTGGTATAGTCTGGTGTAAAGAATTTAATCCATAAATAGGATACATAGTGATAGAAGCACATAAAAGGAAACAAAAATAGATTACTATCCTGGTTTTAATTGCTTATCAGATGAAAATCTTCTAATTGACTGGACGATTTTAGCATCACAAATGACAAATTGTTCACGTGTCCAATCAGAAAATNAAAAAAAAATTGAAAAAAATAAAACAGATAATTATAACTTTTGAACATTTATGTAGATAGATAGTAATTGTTGTTCGTTTAGTAGTCTTTTAGGACTGTACGTATAAAAATAACGAAAAAATAACCGTCTTTTCTCAGCAAAACAAAAAGTTTCATAGAAAAAACCAAAATATTTACCTCGTTTACGGTTCCATTATCAGCTTTCCATGTCCTACGTTCGTATCTTGTTTTATCTACAGGATTTGGAGGGTTTAAGAAGGATTAACACTACCTTCGTTTACCCTTTAGTCCGTATATATATATATCACGATCTTTTTAATTTTTGTCACCACTATCTTGTAAGTCCACATTAACACCTATAGTCTATTAGTCTATTCTATTCTGTAGATATAAAGTCCGTTTTAAAAATAGATAAGCACCTATGTAGTTGTATGTACACAGGGAGATTCACTGTAGGTATCAAATTTAAAAATCTATGTCCCAATCTGAGAAATCGTCTGGTGGGATGTCTTTGTCTTTCGAGAACGAATCGAAGTTCGAAGTATCACATGCACTTCTCACCTGTTGCACAAGGGGAGCAGGTAACATGCGTGATTTTAGACCATCCCAGTCAAATCCTTGATACCACCTGCATAGAGATTTACTGTGTAAGTCATTTTCTAAATACAGGGAGGAAATACAAATAATAATAATAATAATAAAAGAACATAACAGTCCATTTCAATTTGTTAGAATTATGACCTTGAAATAATCTGCGCGAAGCTAGAAAGAATACGCACTAGGCGTGAGCAAGACAGAAATAGTTGGAACAAGCTTGAACGAGCAGAGCTCTCGATGGGCGGTCTTAGGAGATCGGCTAAAACTGTACAGTACTAGACGAAAATGTTTAGCAATTTCTTAAAACAAAAATGTATATAAATTAACAATAGAAAACAAAGCAAAAGTTTTATAGGTGTGTAGAGCGTTAAGTTAATTCACTTATTATTATTTAAACTAAATATGCTTTTAAATAAAGCATATTCTTAAATTTTAACGAGGCAGTTTAAATAATTTTGCAAATGGTACTGTACACTTTTGTCTAGTTCTCGCTCGATGATCGGTGGAGAAATGAGCTCCGCAGACAAATATGATTGAATTTGGAATTATGCTACGGCGCATCCTAACAAAGGGAAGGGGCATATCTCTAACTTCTTGAAACGAACAGTAAGTTCCTAGTTAGTAATTCATCGATTTCAAACTTATTAGTTCTCATCAGCACGCCGTAAATGCTTGATATGGACCTAAGAAGGTATCCGTTTAATAAGCTGAATCTACGTGATGGGCACGTAAGCCAAATTAATAAAGAATATGACCAATATAGGTCAAATATTTATTGTTGGTTATATTTTACATCAGCTGATAATAATTTAATAAAAATTCACAAAAATATTATCCAAATAACTTACCATATTATGATCTACATTGTTATTAAAAATTACGTACAATGCGAGGTTACACTTTTAACAACAACATTTCGAAGTCAAGTTCGATTTGAAACTATCAATAACTACTCTCATTTTAATCTTTGCAGGTAGATATTTCGTTCCGTCACATGTACGAAGTGTGACAGTAAAATCATTGTCTTGTATGATTTTATTAAGCTTCCAATGATAAATAAGCCAAAACGTTGCATAACATTTTTTATAAGATTAAGCAACTAAGCCAGCGCTTAACATTAATTCAAGGTTGATCGTGGTGAGACGTTATAAATACGTACACATGGATACATTAAACAAAACATCGTCCCTAAGTATATTATATAATTTGTAATGATGCAGAATTATTGAATAACAATTGTATTTCTCAATTAAAGAAATGGAAACAATCTATGACAAAAATGTTGTTTCTCTTTCTTTTACGGAGCATCATCAGGGATCATCTAAAATTAAATTTAAAAACTGTTTTTATTTTTAATTAATACTGAAGATGATTTGTAATGTTGAGTCAAATGAGCCCTGAAGATGTTCCACGGATTACCTACAAGACGTTGGCAAGCATGTAACGATCAATATGTTAAGAATTCAGAAAACTGATAAGAAAAAATTATAGAACTGTAATTTTTAATAAAGACACACAAATTGTGTTAAACTAGTCCCTGAACATGCTCCATGGAGTTGGTTACAAGTTTATGGCAAGTAATTTACCATTAAAGAGGTAAGAATTCAGAAAATCGATAAGGAATTATATAACTACATAGCTTTTAATAAAACTGAAAGTAATAAAGTTCTGAGGACGTTCTGTGGAATCGTCAATTGAGTTTAAGATTATATTCAGTACGCCTTTATGAAATTTAAAAGCTATTTTTAATAAAACACAAGTGGAAGAGTAAATATAGAATCAGTTAAATTAAACATCAACTTACTTGTGCTTTTTAATATCTTGAATTCCACCCCTTTGGTAACCAAGTCGTTCAGACGGCGAATCTCTGCACAATTTTTTAATCAGACTTTGAGCAGATCTACCGACGTTTTTCTTTGTAAAATCGATCATATCGATACCTTTCAATATTAGATTATACGTTGCCATGGGATCGGCTGCTGTGAAGGGTGGACTGTAACAACAACATTTTTTTACCATGAAAGTCCAATCGAATATACCTGTCCAGGTAGGATTTAAGTAAAGGTTGAATTTAAAGATCATTTTACATCTAATAGGTAATTTGTGCTGATTAAGCATACGAAGTCTGTTAAAAAAGTATCGCAAATTTTGTCTTTTTTCAAAAATTATTTATTTATTAATGAATATCTATTTTGTCCTCTTCAAAGTAATCCCCACTAGATATTATACACTTGTGCCAACGTTTTTTCTAATCTTCGAAGCACTTCAAAAAATCATTTTTTTGTGATCTTGTTCAGTTCCTCCTTCGAGGACGTCTCTGTCTCCTGAATCGTAGAGTAACGATGTCATTTCATGGGCCTCTTCAGTTTCGGGAACAAGAAAATGTCACACTGGGCCAGATCTGAGGAATACGGTGGGTGCGGCGTGTGTAGTTTTTGGCCAAAACTTTGAGCACAAGCAACGATGTGTAACCAAGAGCGTTATCATTGTGCAAAAGCCAATTTTTGTTCTTCTTGCGCAAATTGTGAAGGTAATATCCCTTATTGACCGTATTACCCAGTGGCAAGAACTCATGATGCACCACGCTCCTGCAATCGAAGAAAACTGTAAGAAAACTTCCACAATCGACCTAACTTGGCGCGCTTTTTTCGGTCTTGGCTCGTGCCGCAGCTTCCAATGGGATGATTGAGCTTTGGTTTCCACGTTATGACGATAAACCCAAGATTCGTCACCAGTTATAACCCTCTAGAGCAAATTTGATCCAATTTTTAGAATAGGCAAAAATCCAAGACGAGCCAAAACACGTGCAAGCAAAGCAGCTGTCAAATTAACTGAACATTCAACATAGCCGAACTTGTTGGTATAAGATGAGAGACATGAGTACCAACATAACGCTACAAAATAATCGAAAATTCGCGATACTTTTTGAACAGACCCCGTATAACTTCATCTAAATGAATATGATTACGTAAAAGTGTTCCATTTTGCCACAACCCCAAAAAGTTACGTTTGAAATGGACTTACCTTCCAGTCATCAACTCGAACATCAATATTCCCAAAGCCCAGTAATCAACAGCCCTGTCGTGACCCTTATTCAAAATGGTTTCCGGCGCAACGTATTCAGGCGTACCACAAAACGTCCACGTCTTGCTGCTGTATCCTAAACGTTTCGAGAAACCAAAGTCGCAGATCTTCACGTATCCCTGCGCGTCCAATAGGAGATTTTCCGGCTTCAGATCTCTGTAGATAATGCCGCGTGTGTGTAAATAGTCGAAAGCTTCTACAACACAGGCTGTGATGAAACGGGTCGTAGGCTCATCGAAACAACCCCTGTCGCGGAGTATGGTCCACACTTCACCCCCCAAACATGCTTCCAATAGCATGTACACGTATTTCGAGTCTTTGAAAGTCTTATATAGTCTGAAAAAAAATATGAACCACCTACAATTAAATTAAAACATTTAACGCAAACAGTGAAAGATACAAAGAGTTTGATGTTTAATTATTTTGAAACATTAATGTGAATTAATATGCAACCCTCTACAGATTAATACCCAAATTAATGAGCAAAAATTGTTGCTCCTGTCAGACTTGTCAGGAATCTCTAGAGAGTGGAATATTAATTCTTATTAATGTTTAAAAATAGACCGACAGACACACGAGTGGTTCTATAAGGGTTCTGTTTTTCATTCGGACGTGCGGAACCCTAATCCGAGAACCAATCACATTGCAGTTAAAAACAAACATGTTTTCCTATACATTTAAACTACAAATGTAGATAGATTCTTATTAACATTCCAGCAATCTATAAATAAAGAACTATTTTCCGTATTTTTTTTTTAAATTTTAGATTCAGTAGTTTCGGAGATAAGGGCGAGGGGGAGGGGACTGGTCAATTATCATTTTAAAATTACAAAAAAAATATGTTTGAGACCCTTACAACAACCCTCTTCGTTTTATATGTCACACGGTACAGTTTGCAAAAATTTTTTTTTTATTTTTCTATTAGCCCCCCAAAAATAACTCCCATGTTCAAAATTAATTTATTTACGTTATGGGCCCGTGTTTGGGTCACAGAAATTCACATGCGTATTAAACTTCAACTTAATCAGTTTAGTAGATTCGAAGCAAATTGACTGTGACAGACGGACAGACACACGCGCGAGTGACTCTATAAGGGTTCCCTTTGTGATTCGGATGTAAGGAACCCTAAAAATTACTAGATACTAACGTCTATCAACTACAAATAGCAAATCCGTAGAGATGATGCGCGGCTTTTGTTTATTTTACGATGAGGCAGAAATAGAAACCTATCTCTCGTGCGTACGCGCCACATTGTTTGCCCCTTTTTTCAGTTACAAAAGAACACACATACGATGAAGATTTTTCGGGCTAACGAGCCGTGGTCTAGTGGAAATTATATTTTTAATTTTATTATGGAGACGGTGGTGGTTGCTTCGTAGTATCTTTCTCGCTGGTTGAGGAACGTCAGACGCCGTCTCCATTGAAAATGTTCGGCGCAGTTTCGAACGAAACGTCTGGAAAAAATAAAATTTCCACTAGACCACGGCTCGTGTAGACTCCAGCCGTGAAAGCCTACACATAGTTACCAGCACAAAAACGTTAATAATTTGATTCCAAACAGGAATAGAAAAATAAAAAAGAATAGATGTTTCAATACCTGCAAATGAATGGACTCCTGCAGCTCATCATGATCATCTTTTCGCTGAACACATGATCTTGTTGCTGCGTTTCGACTATATGCTGCTTCTTCAAGCATTTAAGTGCGAAAGTAAGCGATGGATCGTGCGTGTATTGAACTAGTTCCACCCTTCCAAAGCCCCCAACACCCAATGTTGCAATTATATCTAAGTCGTCTAATTTTATGTGTTCAAATTCTGAAACTATAATACAATACAAGATGTAATTTCCATTTTAATTGCCAAAACATAAAAATAATGAACATAAGAAAGCAAATATCAAGAAAAATACGAAACTATATTTTTAACAAACCTTTATTCATTAACTTTAAATAAATTCGTAAAGTTTGGGTTTGTTAAAATTTATTGATTAAATAAAGAAAGTAAGTAAATAACTTACCCTGTTGTTCATAGCCTACACTTGACGAACTATTATGTTTCATTATTGTAGACCTGTGCTCATCCCCGTAACATTTTTCCCTTAATTCACTAAGTTCCCCAATCAGTTGTATAAAAGAGTCTCTGTCCAGCGTAAGACATTCTACTCCGGGACATAAGGCTATCACAGAAGCTGTTCTACAGTCCTCCTTCAGGAGAGCTTGCTCGCCAAAATAATCGCCTTTTTTCAATGTTCTAATTTCTTCCTCTTCTAATCTCCCTAAATATGTAATTAAAAACAAAATAAATAAACAATTTATATAATTAAAAAAGTCGCCGATTTTTAGATAGGTATCCAGGAAGCCTGATAAGTTATTAGGATGGAAAAGCGGTGTAGACGTAAAACAAAGTGGGTACATATGCTACCGGAAATGTATGACATATAGGAATTGTATACAATTCCTAGGAAATGTGTGTAATTCCGAGGCTATTTAGGAAATCTATAAAATATTGTTTCAAACATTTTTTAAAACACACATATCCTAAGAATAAAGAAACGCGAAGGAAAATCTAAATTACGTTAGTGTATGCAAATGATTAGTGATGTTGACTATTCCAGTTTTAACGAAATTCGAAGATTGAATCAGGATTAGAAGGAAAATTGGCACATGCTCATCGGTCAATCTTTGGATTGATGGCCTTATCATGATGATGAGCTTAATTTTCAAAAGAAAAAGTGACAGAAAGTCAGTGCATGCGATTTAGACCTACAATTTTGCCTAACCTCCGATTTTTTTCAATCGTAATTCATATGGTTCAAGGATGTAAGAATTGAGTNTACGGCATCTTCAAAGCTGGCCATGTTCGGAATACACTGAAGAATAGGGAAACTTTTGAAGCTAATTTTAAACAAGAGACACACTAGCTAAAAATTCAACGTGATTCAAGATGGAATTTCCAAAAACTTCAAAAATTATTTTGTTTTCTTACAAAAATTTCGGTTTTTCATTAAGAGTTTTAATGACCAGGTGCATTTACGCTAATGGTAAAAGAACTAAACAACTAATTAACTAATAAATAAATCTTACCACTTCTAATACATCGGCAATTTTTGCTAAAACATCACAACTAAGGTTCTGTAATAAAGGCACAGATCTGAGGAATTTAATATTTTCTTGTAGACGTTGCAGTCCGGTCCTGACCATGATCTGTTGAAAAACTTTTCTGTCGAGCACCCACACTTTCGAATCGGCGACAACTAGAAGTGATAATGAAAAATTTTGTAGTAAATCACTCACTGATAACCTGACTTTGTATATTTTCCAAATTAGTACCAATTAGTTTTGCTAAGGAGCACAATATTTGTGGACAAGAAACCTGTTAAAACACCTGACTATTTACACAGAGAAGGAAATTAATAACTAAATAAAACAAATGACGATGGTACGTGGAATCTCGTTGAAATCACGTGCCTCGACACTCTAATTTTCAGTTTATATATAATTTACATACGCAGATAATGATTCATCTAAATATTTTTGCAGGATCCGAAAAAAAATTATTTATTAATTAAGTAACGGATCCGAGTACAGCAATGTTTTTCGTATTACTTAGTTAACTTTTAATATAAGTGAATATGAAGCAAAGACTCTTGGTATAGTCTGGTGTAAAGAATTTAATCCATAAATAGGATACATAGTGATAGAAGCACATAAAAGGAAACAAAAATAGATTACTATCCTGGTTTTAATTGCTTATCAGATGAAAATCTTCTAATTGACTGGACGATTTTAGCATCACAAATGACAAATTGTTCACGTGTCCAATCAGAAAATAATTGTCTATAATTAATGTTAACTTGGATTCTTTAAAGAATGAGAAAGGTGCTATGGAAATCATTAAGAAAAAGAAGAGATAAAATATGGTAGATGAATGGTTGAATACTTAAGGTTGCGATTATTAATACTCGATTGATATTCGTAAATATGAAAATAATAATCATCTCTTTCTCACAATGAACAATGATTTTTTGACCAAACTGTTCTTCAGTATTAAACCTAATTCAATTTTAGTTGTATAGCACCACTGTGCTAATGTTTTGCGAGCTGTAAAATGTTATTTAAATTCCAATTTAATTATTGGTATTATTTTTACTTGATGGGCTGAAACTAGACCCATAGTCAATGGGACTACACAACCTTTCTATAAGGATTTAGTTCGTCCTTGCGGTGGCACACTGAAGTCACAAGAAGTAAAGATAAATCCAGAGAATTTCTGAATCTGGGTTTATATTTTATGACTTTATGATATTTTTCGACACTCAGAGTCCGCCCTCTGCGTCATTAGCAGTAGAGTACGTCACTATCTGTAGGTATATTTATTATTGAAGTGGACAGACAATCATGAAACCTGGTACAAATTTTACAACCATTGTATAAACGAAATTCAGATAATGATAATGTATAAAGTATCTTAAAATTGTGATAATCAGCAAGGGTGAGTGTTAAAATTAGGGAAATATCCTCCTTAATGACTTTATAAGCATGAAGAACCCGAGGTAAAAATGTTCAGACTCTCAGAGGCTCTGAAAGCGAGACTGGAGTCTCTGTCTCTCATCGAGTCTCTCGCTGTCGCTGAGAGAGACTGTCAAAAAAACTGTTTAGCGTCTCTGAACGAGAGACTCGAGTCGCTCATGGAGAGATCCTCATTTCGTATCCAATCTGAACGAGAGACTCGAATGTCTGAAATAGAGACTCGAATCTCTCAATAAGTGGTGTCTCGATAGACATGGTTAAAATTTTCTAAGTTCAACATATTTCAGAGATCCCAGTCTTCGAGTCTCTCAATTTTTCAGTTTTATTCATTCAGTCTCTCTGTGAGAGACTCGAATCTCTGAATCAATAATTTTATCGTTCGAGTCTCTCATACAGGGACTGTGAGAGATCCATAAAAACACCTAGGAAACAATTGAGAGACTGTGAGAGACGCTCTCAGAGACGCTGAAAGACTCTGAGAGACTGGAGAGAGACTGAAAATTTTGGTCTAGGGAAAAGAAAGAAGTAAAATTTGATACAATATTTAATCCTGATGATAAATCTTAATGATTAACTTTCAATTTTATAAATTCATCCACTTGGTCAAGATATGAAAGTTCGAATATTTTTCTGTTAACTATTAGTAGGTTAAAAAGAACACTACTAATCTGTTTCTCAAAATTATTTTATTTTTCGTAGATTAATTTAACTGCACTAAAATCGAAGCAACATTTTTCTAATATATATATATATTCTGTTGATATACTACAAGATGTGATTGTAGTATTTTTGTGTGTACTAAACTGAAATTATTACATAAAATACGTAATGTTTTCATAGTAGAATCTACTAATTATACATAATTATGGAGAATTGTATGTTTACATCGATTTGTTTTACATTTTGTCATGCGCTGGAATTATTAATTAGGACAATTTCGCTAAAAGCATTAATTTATAAAACTAGTGCAGTAACGTAAATCCGCTAATCAGTGAGTTTTATTTTGTAAAGTATTTATTTATGGACATTCTTGATTAAAACCAACGGCTTGTCTATTTTTGGTTTAATTATTTTGGTTTTATGCGCTTAATTTTATAAAAAATTAGAAGCTTCGCATAAGTATTTCAGATGAAATTAAAAGTACTAAAATTGTAGGTCGGTCAAAAACTGTGATATTTGCTGTTTTAATTAAACTTTGGTACCATTAAAATTATTATTTGTATCATTGTGATCAGTGGGTAAATCAGGAAAAAACAAAAATCCGTGAAATAAAATACAATTATGTAGATAATGTGCCTAATTTATGGTGATATGATGCTGCTAGATCAAAATAGCTTCAAGCAGTTAAAACTTCTCCTTAAGGATTATTTTCATGAGAACTTTCTCTTTTACTTGAGAATAACCAGATCGGGGTTAATGTTTTAGAAACAAGACTTCCGAACATCCTTAGCTATTGTGGTAATGTCCAAAATGTCAAAGAAATGCTGAAAGAACGATTTTTTCGTAGAAAAAAAAGTCGTCGTATTATGCACCCGAAAGCATCTCCAGATTAGTTCTGTCCAAGGTTTCATAAAATTTTCCGAAGATGATTTTCAATTGGTACCGAAAAGTTAGTAATTTAAGTTAATAAGCAGGGTAACGACCGGGACTTTAATTAATCATTAGTGAATTGCTTTCTGCGTAAATTTTTATGGAAATTTAGTGTCAAACCGAAATTTATTTAACGTTCTTCGAACGCTGATGCTTAAAATCTCAAAACGTTCAAAAAGGCTGGCCGATAAAGATTAGAGTAATGCGATTTGGGGTTGAAATTTCAACATGTATACGTAAAAGTAAGTAGTATTTCATGTTGGTAATCATAACGACGTAATGAACTCATATAACAAAAGCAAAGCGAGCGTAAATTGCAGAATTAGGTATTAGACACAACGCATCGACATCATTCAATTAACGTATATTTATCATTTATCCGTATATTTATTTGTAGCCTAGACTAAGAGGCCTAGCAACTTCTGACCGCGATTGACTATCAGTTTATTTTTTATGGGATAGATTTCTCATAACTAAAATATGGTTTGCTTTCCCATCATCGCCATGGGGTCGTTAGTCCCATCGTCACTGGTTGGACACGCACCTCTACTTTCACCTAACCTTAGCTAATTTTCGCATTTTCCGAAAACTAGAACATCCCACATCCTTAATTATTTGCGAACAGTAATCTAATCTAGGTCTACCTCTACTCCTCTTAACTCCCGTTTCTGCCTCTCGTAGGTCTCTGACCTTCATGTCTGAGAAGGTGTCCTACTAACCTATCTCGCCTATTTTTTGTTGACTTCCATAGAGTCCTCTGTTCACCTATTCTTTCTGATACCTCTTCCTTTCTAACATTCTCTATCCACGGTATCCTCATCATTCGCCAGTAACACCACATTTCGAACGCTTCTAACTTTTCCTTTTCCGCAGCGCCCACCGTCCATGTTTCGCACCCGTACAGCACCGCGCTCTAACCATACACCTTTTTCGAATTTCGACTCGACCCTGCGCTATCATTTGCTTTATATCCCTACTACTCCTTCCGTCCTGACTTATCTGACTTCCTAGATACCTAAAATCAGTCACTTCTTCCAACTTTTCGTTCCCTATCTTTATATTCGCTCTTTCCCTAATTTTTCTTCCCTTGCACACCAATATTTTTATTTTACTTTTATTTATTTTCATACAATACGTTTTTGTCAATACCGCTTCCATTTTATTTAAAGTTATTTCTAACTCCTCCTTGCTAGATGCTAATACTGCTATATCATCTGCAAATCTAAACATACTAATCTTTTGCTCCTGTATATCTACCTCTACAGTTGTATTGTCTTTAATGATGTTGATCGCGCCTTCGATGTATAGATCAAAAAGTAACGGTGACAGTGTGCAACAAATTAAAATTCCAAACAAAGTCGAAATCATTATAACATGATGGCCTACCTCTTATGGAAGCAGTTCTTGTGCAGTTGTACAAAATGGCCAACTCTCCGAATGCTTTTCCGGGACCCATGTATCCCAGAACGTTATTATCTTTAATTACTTCAAACTTCCCCTCTGCTGAAACGTACAGATGTGCCCCAGCATCTCCCTCCCTTATTACGAAACTTCCCCTTCGTAGTTCCTTCGGATACATGCAATCAACGATTTCTCGAACTTGCAACGAGTCCAGATGCTTTAAGAAATCATTATCCATAATGGCATCCTTGATAAGTTGCTTAGACCTGTGATTGGAAAGACTGATAGTAGAAAATTGCAAGTAGGTAATAAAATGAAGTCGAGGATAATGTTAAGTGATTTCAACAATGTTCTTCTTAAAGAGACTTGAGATAAAGGAAGGAAGCGTTATCCTTACCTAGCATTTAATCCTTTTGCAGTTGCAGCATAAACTGTTTAAAAATATAGCATTAAAACAACTTGCACGTTTAATTGCAAAAATTATAATTAAATATTTTGTTGCTATTTCTTCTCCAACAATTGCATTGCATAAAGTAAGAAATCATGCTACGTATGGGGCAAAAGTTTTTATTTATATGAGACCGATAATCTACGTTTCGTCTCAATTATGAGGCATCTTCGAACGGGATAAAATTTTAACAAGATTAATAGCTATAAAAAGGGCTTCTTTTTCCAAAATTTCAATGTAATACTAGCCAGATTTCTATCTTAAAAGTTGTCACAAAAGAAATCACCTATCACTTTGAAAAGTCGAAGCCCCTTACCCTTATCATTTAATTTTTTTTTTGTTTTTCACCTTAAATTGGTTATAAACAAAATTCCTCACACTTGTGAGCATACCCACAAAGTAATTCTTTACTAATTTACCTACAAACAAAAATCAGGTCTAGTCCAAAGTTTTCAACCCAAAAGTCTAATTTACCCGGACTATAAACGAATAATATTGTTCCAATTAATCCATACAATCGATTATTTCCATTAATCTAGTTAATCGAGTTGTCGATTCACTACTTATTCCAATTAATCGATATAATCGATTATTTCCATCAGTCTAGTTAATCGAGTTGTCGATTCACTACTTATTCCAATTAATCGATATAATCGATTATTTCCATCAGTCTAGTTAATCGAGTTGTGGATTCATTACTTATTCCAGTTAATCGATATTATCGGTTATTCTCTTATAACCGATTATCAATTATTAAATTGAATAACGAAACCCTCTTAACGTAACTATTTTACAGTTTTCTAAATAAATAATTTTATTTCTAGGTTATCCACACAAATCGGTTTATTTATTGTAGATAGCTGAAAACCGACATGAAAGGTTTTTGATATGTTTTCCGTTGGCAAGGATTTGGAACACCTGTTATTTATCCCGAAATTTGAAATTTTCCGTTTCCATCCAGTTCAGTCGGTACATCTTTTAAGTATACGGTTCGTGTTTGGTTAGTAAACTTTTGATATAAGGCAAGGGAAACGAATGGCGATTAAAAAGCAGTAAAATTTTCAAAAAAAAAAATGTACCTGAAGTCTTTCTCGTGTTTTTGTATTGCAATGTCACTCGGCTGGCTAATGTCACTGGACTCTGCCGAAACACCCTGTCGTTTTCCATAAAGGCTAACAACATTGGACGATGGCACTTGCTTATTGGCCATTGCATGCTGCTCTTGTAAACTGGTAAGCATGTAATTGCCATTATTAAAACTGGTAGCTTGTTGCAAAACACTCTGTAAAACAATAAGAAAATATTTTGAATTTTATTGGACAATAGGAGAAAAATAATGTAAGAAATATATTAATTTGAGATAATTTTTTCGATTTTTTGTTTACCCACTACAAACTACCTCAAATTAATGAGGGAAAAATTATTGCTGTCGTCACACCCCCGCCGGGAATCGAACTCGGGACCTTTGGCTTTACGCACCAATGTTCTGACCAAAGGTAAAACGTAAGCCAAAGGTCCCGGGTTCGATTCCCGGCGGGGAAAAATCGAAAAAATTATTTCAAATTTTTATTGCATATTAATCCACTGTTAAGTAACTAACAATGTCATATGATTTCATATATTTAATGTAAGAGTTTCTACTTATTCTAAAGGACGGTACCTATTCATAACCCTTGAAACAAATCCTTAACTTTTTTCATCAGTTTGATAATGTACACCTTAATCTTAGTGCCATTTAGACCCGATCACTTTTTTCCAATTGTTTATTACCACCTTGAATACATCAAAACTGGTGATTTTTAATTAAAAAACCTAAATAAACCACAACGCCCTGGATAGCGTAAATAGGCTTATGACACAATTCGATTTTTTAATTAAACGTTCTCATAGTTCCAGAACATGATGCTGATACAACAACTACTACTGCAAATATTTTAATTTGTAACTATCTTTTAAACCGTTTAACAGTCAGATGAAAGTTTTAACCTTTTGCAGTTCTTCTGTACATCAATGTTTAATCTTTATTGTTAAATCGATAACATTGTCTTTTTAGGGTTCCGTACGTCTGAATCAAAAACAGAACCCTTATTAATGAGGACTGTGACTGTCTGTCCGTCTGTCACAGTCAATTTGCTCCGAATCTACTGGGCCGATTAAGTTGAAATTTAGTACACGTATGAATTTATGTGACCCAAACACGGATGCATAATCCAAATAAATTAATTTTGAACATGGGGATCATTTTTGGGGGGCCAATAAGTAATTAAAGAAAAAAGTTTTGCAAACTGTACCGTGTTACATATCAAATGAAATGGCTTGTTGTAAGGGTCTCAAATATATAATTTTTTTAAATTTTAAAAGCAAATAGTTTTAAGGTTATTTAAGAAAATAGATCAAAATTGACCACTCGCCCCCTGTCTTTATCTCCGAAACTACCGAACGTAACATTTTGAAAAAAATGCAGGAAATAGTTTTTTACTTATAGATTACAGGAAAATGCATACGAAGTGTATGGTCTCAACATAACATGATAAATTTTTCAATCAAAGCAATATTGTGCATACAAATTTACATTTGCAGTTTGAATGTATGGGAGAACATGTTTTTTTTTCAACTACTATGTTAAATTAGTCCTTGGGTTAGGGTTCTGTACGTCCAAATGAAAAACAGAACCCCTATAGGATCATTCGTGTGTCTATCTGTCCGTTTTTTTGTTTTGGTTTGAGAAAATCATTCAAAATGAACTGAATTTACTGTAACTAATGTGCAAGTAACTTTGTAATTTTTAAAAAAGTCAATATAATAATAAAGCGTCCAAAATGCCAGTTACAGTGAACAAATTTGATTTCGTCGCCTATATATAAATTATTTAGTTATGTATTAAGGCTTCCGATTTTCTCGGTAATTATTAATCATGCAGTCGGTTGGTTTATTAAAATTCGTAACAGGCCAACCGCCGACGCCATTTAGAACAATTACAACAATAGCGACGCGGCGATGTCTTGGTCGCGCGTCAATACCTACACACAAATACGTCACACGGGATCTCTTCAATAAAGAAAAACAATAGCAGAGAACAGATAAGGTAATACAAACATACCTTGAGCTTATGAACTTCGCATTGTAATCTAGTCACCTCGGCTTCTTTAGAATTCAACTCTTTCTTGCTTAGTTGCAAATCGGATTCGAGAGCGCCGTACTTTATCTCTAGATCTGACAATTCCCGTTTCAGCTGTTGTACTACCGTCTTCAGGTACTCGTAATCCTCGATGACGCTAGATTTTCTCTTTCCTTCACCACAAAGGATGCTCTGCGACAGACGAGGTCGTGGAGCACTCTCAAACTCGGAGGTGGCATCTTTTACGGTGGTCATAGTTGGCGCACTCATCCCGCTGCCCATATTGTCGTTTACCGCACCAAAATCGCGAAGAATCTTCAAGGATAAGTCGTCGGTAGCTCCGGGAATACTCTGGCTCCTATTCGCAAGCGCCGTGTACTTCAAATAGAGGAGATTGGACTGAGATGCCGAGTCACAGACAAGATCTGGGTAGTGGAGATTACTGAGATTCAGGTAATTGTTGTACCTCGACTGTTTTTCGTGATGGTTTTCTGTCAGATTTCGATCCAGAAGATCGGTAAGTGGGAAAGGTATTTCTGGGTGTCGCAGGCACTCGCTGTACTTGGTTTTTCTGTGGTGCGTCTTCTTGGTATTGTTGTTTCTGGTCGCGCTGGTTATTTCAGGTGATGAATATCTTTTTTCCTGCAGTTTATTGTCGGTGGTGTCTGGTGATGAAACGATAGTAGATTCGGTCGATTTCTGGACGCACTTGGAAGATGTGTTTTCATTGCTGTTGCAACTGCACTTTGCGAAAAGGCTTCCGCAGGTGTTGGACTTTTTAAACACTGCCGGAGGCGTTCTGGGCAAAGTGGGGGACCGTCCGGTGGACGCCGGATGGGGAGTCAACACCTTTTTTTGTACCGATTCTTGCGCAATTGTTAACATTATTATTAATATTTAAGTGATTGTTGTAGTCGGAGCTGGTATATGTATTGGTTGGTTGCCGAAGGTGAACGCAGTTCGGCGTCTTACGAGGATGTGCAAGTGGATTGGCGTTGATCGAATTTGCCTGTTGTTGATTCAGCTTGTTGCCTTGCGAAGTGCCGGGAGGGTCCGGTGTTATCTGAAAAAACAACTCCTAAAATATGATGTGTGGGTTTTCTATTTAATAATCGTGGAAATATAGCAACGTGGCTAAAAATAGTCGAGAGGGAGCAAATTAAAAGTTATCGAGAGGTCGCTATTTAGACGCTTTTTACTGTGTACTTTATTCACGAGTGGAATAGATGGTTCTTTTTTAACAAAAATTAATGTTATCGTCAGCTGGTGTACTAATGAAGATAGCAGACGTGCTAGATAACATAAGGCTAAATTAAAATTCGACACAATAAACGAATCTTTGCAACAGTGTTTTCGGCGACTTCAAGAATAACCAAAATACATAGATTTCAATTGATTTCTAATATACTCGCAGCAGTTTTAATTTTTATTTTCCAAATACAGTGTAAACTCTTTATAACGTCACTCGATTTAACGACAAAATCCTTAAAACGTCGAAATTGTTTGACTTTGGTTGGTTTATCTTGTTTTCTATACAATAATACACTCCATGTAGCGTCATGCTCACTCTATTTAACGACAATACGGCAGTATAAATCTTTAGCGTTTTTGGTATATTTAATAAATAAAAAACATAAATAAAACACTAATATATAACAATAAAGTCAATTTATGTACACATAACAAAAATCATGAATAGAAAAGGTATATATACAAAAGTCAAAAAACATAAAAGTTGAAAAAAACATCAGACGAAGATGGCAGACTATACGCAATGTATGAATAATAATGTTCATGTGTAAAATGGGTACTGTATATATAATTATAGAATAGCAAAATAATATCTTTTGTTTCTCTCCATTTAACGACCACTCTCTGTAACGCCGAAAAATGCTCAGTTCGTTAAGTGTGGTTATATAGAGTTTACACTGTATGTTAAATTTCATACCAGTTATTTTATAGTAATGTACATATAAGTATAAGGTGAGGATGAACAACTTCAACAAATTATAAAGATTCTAAGTTTACATCCCAATAAAACATCCAAAGCAGAAAAAAGTAATTTCATCCAGATGATTACATATCTGGCATTTCGTTTGCAGATTTGGCGTTTCGTAATTTATGTTGAATACGTTTCTAGAATCTAAATTGTTTTGTGATTAATCAATTAATTAAGATTGTAATGAGAGGATGTTACAACGTATGAAAGATTAATAATTTGTTAATGAAACAATTAATTTGATCATCTGTTCCATTTGGGTATAGTGATGATTTAAAATTCAAATTTTACAGTATTAAATCATTGAAATTTTAATAGTCATCTAAGTCTATTAAATTAACAATGAGGGAAGAATTTTTACAAAACAATCCTTGGATTTTGAGGCATAAAAATACACAATTTTTATGTTCTTTGTCTATATTGCACCTACATACTTATTTGTAAAAGTTTAAAGTCAAAATAATTAAGCATAATAGTGTTGTGTGATTTTTGTTAGTTAACTCTACATTTTTCTTTTATATTTCATTTTGATTGACTCCAAACAACTTTTTAACAATAATTATTCAACTAGTGTACGTATGTAAAGGATTTGTGGTCTGTTTTCGACGTTTTTAAAACACACTTACTTGCTAATTTCTTTTTTCACAGTCTTTCACTTATTCACTTGAATTTAGATGCATAGTTAGGTACATTTCCTTCAATGTATCACAATTAATCGTCTAATCACACGCTGTAATGCAATAATAGCTATAACGAGAAAAAATCATTTAAGGCGGGCTCAAATGTGGCGGGTAATCGTCGTATTCTAACTTTAGAAATGAAATAATTAACATCAGAGATAGTCGTAGAGAGCTATTAGGTTTGTTTATGTAATAAAGTTGCACTTATTACAGTTTCTCTGTAAGCATCATACACACATAGTTGCCGTCACTAAGGGATTTACGATTAGTGAGTTGTTGTACAGTTTTATGGCCTTAATTCCTGATAATTCGAGCAAATAATTCGCTTTCTGCATAGATATACGCATACCTTTACAAATGTTTTTAGCATTTTGTTAAAAATAAAAAGAATCAAGGTCGACATCAGAATAAAAATGTCCTCATAAGAAAAAGTTTAATAAATTTTTATCAACTTCTTTATAATACCACCCGCGCATGTAAAGGTCCATGAGATTTTAAAGCAGCTATACCATTAAGATTCTGAATTACGTTTTCTTTTAGATGTACAGGTCGACCAACGAATCTGTAACCGAGACAGATGAGGTATGCGCATTGGCAAAGTGATTAAATTAAAAATTTAAAGAATTTCTGACATAAGTCATAGCCGAAAACACTCCCGATCAAGTCACCTTTCAAAAAAAAAAATTAAATCAAAATCAGTTCGTTCGTGTAAGAACTACGATGCCACAGACAAACAAATACTTACGTTAAACTTATAATAACCCTTTTTTGTGTGGGGGGTTAAAAAGGATGCGTAACATAATCTCCCAGGTGGGTAAATAATCGCAGGAGTAATGCAATTTCTTACCAGGGGTTTGAAATTTTTTTTTTAGGAAACTGGCTGTTATGGAAAGCATTTCATATCCTTACAGATGGCAGTCCTTTAAGCAAACTCTGAAGGTTCAGGAACGACATTCAAGTGAGAAAACCACGAAAAGCTTTTAAAGCTACTGAATGAGAACTCACAGTAAGATAATACGAGGGTGGATTGATAAGTTTCCGGCCTAACCAAGAGATGACGCCACTAGGCCTACCTTGAGGTGACATTCTATAGTACCATCCTTCGATAGCTTGTAGCTATAGTTTCAGCCCGATCTCCTTGCTAGTGTAGGTTTGACAGCACGCTGAACAAGACGCCTCTGTGGTTTTCGTAAAAATGGAAAAGCAGGAAAATCGTGCTGTCATCAAATACTTTTATTTGAAGGGGTTAACGCCGAAGGAAATTAAAAAAGAGATGGACTCAACGCTGGGGACATCCTCCCCGTCATATTCAACCGTTAAGCAGTGGGTTTCCGAGTTTAAAAAGGGTCGTGTGAGCACCTCTGATGGGCCTCGCTCAGGACGCCCCGTTGAGGTCACAACTCCAGATATGATCGAAAAAATTCATCAAATAGTGCTGGGAGACCGCAGATTGAAAGTGCGTGAGATAGCTGAGACCTGTAAGATGTCATATGAACGTGTGCAACATATTTTGCACCAACATTTGCATATGGAAAAGCTCTGTGCAAGATGGGTGCCGCGTTTGCTAACAGTCGACCAAAAATTGATTCGAAAAAACATTTCTACCGCAAATTTGTCATTGTATAAGCGTAATCCAAGCGAATTTTTGCGTCGATTCGTAACCGTTGACGAAACGTGGGTCCACCACTACACTCCTGAAACCAAAGAACAGTCTAAACAGTGGATTGGACCAGGGGAACCAACTCCAAAGAAGGCAAAAACAATTTTTTCGGCGAACAAGGTTATGGCTACTGTTTTTTGGGATGCAAGAGGTATTATATACATTGATTACCTTGCAAAGGGTAATACTATCACTGGTCAATACTACGCAGACTTATTGCAACGTTTGAGCCACGAGGTGAAAATTAAACGACCTCATCTGGCGAAGAAAAAAATCTTGTTTCATCACGATAACGCACCAGCGCACACGTCAATCGTTGCGACGGCTAAAATCAACGATCTAAAGTTTGAATTGATGCCGCACCCTCCTTACTCTCCAGACCTAGCCCCGAGTGACTATTTTCTGTTCCCTAATCTCAAAAAATGGCTTGGCGGTAAGAGATTTGCGGACAATGAAGAAGTAATCGAAGCTGTAAATGGTTATTTTGAGGAGCTTGACGAATCAGTCTATAGAGATGGCATTAATAGACTGGAACACCGCTATGAGAAATGTATCAGCCTTGGAGGAGATTATGTTGAGAAATAAAAAAAAAAAATTTTTAAAAACCTTGTTTTTCTTGGTCAGGCCGGAAACTTATCAATCCACCCTCGTATATATAATATTTAATATTGTTTTGCTTTATCGATGCATAATGTGCATTGAACGTTTAATAATTATACCATGTTGGGGTACTTTTATGTTTAAGGAAACACATGTGATACAAAAAGAACACCAAAAAGATCAAAACATAGATCACTAACATATATAGGTAATATATTTTCAGAAAAATTTGCCACTCGTACGAATTTCCGGGAGTAAGTTGTTTGAGAAAATTCTAAAATTATCTTCTCGTGTGTGCGGCATAGAGAGATATAACTTAGAAATCAATTTCTGTTTTAAAGCACTGTGTGTTGCCGATAACTTGGACGTAAAATGAAACTTTATTTTGTTTTGCAACCCTTTTCTAGTATCAAATTGGTTTAAAAATATCTAAAAAGTTTTAGAAATGATATTGACATAAAGTTTTAGACAACAAAAGAAAAAAAATGATATATATTACAAAAACGATATTTTTCTCAAAGAAAAAATGAAATAAAGTTTTACGCAGTTCATTCCCGCCAACTATTAATGTTGGTGGCTTGATCGTCCCTAAGACCTATACTAGCGCAAAACCGAAGGGTAAGGCAGAAGGTCTTTTGAGCCATTCTTTGGAAATCGTGGAAATAGGTAACAGATGGTTAGGGAGAAGCAAATTACTCAAAAATAGATGTTCTCTGGAATATTACTGCATCACCATTTGTCTAAGTAGCACAAGAAAATCAGTACTTTCTTTATTATAGCATAAATCCACAAATTTTATATTTAACGAAACTAGATCCTAGGATAACGTGTAGGTGTATAAGTGTGGAACATTAATTCCTTATGTAGCACGACCACCGAACTGGTATTAATCTCAACCCAAGGTAGTTCCGATATGCGCCGTTGTACCGATCGTGAAGGCGCCACCCGGAACTCGACACAGAGCGAACAAGTACCTACCATCGTCAGCAACCTTCTCCAGAAAAATCACCCCGAGGCGCACTGACCTAACCCAATACCACTTTTTTTGACTTGTATATAAATTTAAGTGTTTTCGAAATAAAGTTTGTTTTGTAAAGGGAAAAACTAGTGCGTCTTTATTCACCCTTACACCTAGAAATTATTCAATTTTGTTTAATTAATGGAGCTGCCTTCTTTTCTTTCTACTTATAAATAAAATAAATGCAATTGTTAATAACAATAGGTAACAGTAGAAGTTGCTACTGTATATTAACATATAAATAACTACCTTTGCATTTACACTTTTAATTAAAATTGTTTACTCAATACGGTAGCAGAATTACACAATATTTGATAACATCTCATATAAATATGTTCTATGATGCATTGTACCATCTTTAGCAGAGATTTACCCATTTATTTACCTAATAATATCATTTTACATCATATTCGAAGCAGATGCAGATTGAAGCATGGAGGTCTAATTGCATTTCTCATTATATGTATCTATCTATAAACATTATTAAAATAAACTAAAGAAAAATACAAATCTGGTGAGAACTGGGAAAATCTACTTTTGTTTAAACAAATAAGATATGCATTTAACACATACGTATGAAAGAACCTTCCTATATCTTTGATTTCAAATGCAAATGATAATTGTTTTATTTTCATGGCGCTCAAAACCATATTCAAATAATGTAACAATTAATTGTAAGACCATTGTCTATACAACACTGAAATATAAATGAATAAAATGCTAATGTACAGGTAAGTAATATTTATAGTAATGCATTTATTTTTAGGTATTGATCTCGAATTAGTACAAGGTAGATGTGAGTTTATGTGATAAAGGTGAGAAATCTGAGAATACCACAAACTGGGTAAACACTAAATATCTCAAACCCTAATTCAAAACACAACACTAAATGTCCGAGGTGCTTTTAGTAACAAAGTTACCTTCTTCAGGAACTGAACACATTTAAGAACTATAAAAGTATTACAAAACACAGACTAATGTTGCAGCATAACTCAGTCTATGAACTAAAATGTTTAGTTTCTTTTATAGAGCATGGGGACATGTGAAATTGAGAAGATTGTAATAATAAAAATGTTGGACAAACTACACGGTCTATTTATGTTAGGTTCAGAGAGCATTTAGTTTATGCTAGGTTTGAAAAAACTCGAAATTAGTTAAAGAAATCTGAAATAATTATCTACTTGATAGCTTTGACAGCATATTTATTTATAAAAACTGTTTAATTTCTCTCAACCGCTATAAGGGTTCTATCCCTAGCTTCGTAAGATCTACTAAACATTGCAACTAATCGACCGAGTTATGTTTACAGATTAATTAGTATTTGTACTGTCTACTTTAACTTTATTAGTTTTTAATTCTCTTCAATCCCTAATGAAGAAAGTAGCTTTGTTGGTTCTTTGAGGTTAGTTAGTGTATTCACACCGGCAAAGTCAGCAGTTTTCCTGATTTTTTTTTTAAGAAAAATTTCCTTTATAGCTTGCTGTTTCCATTCTAGAAGCCACTACAGAACTCTATTGTTCGGGAATGCACATAATTAATTAATATATACTTCCTTTTAAAAAAACTCCCTCTACTGTACGGGAATTACCGAAATATTAATTAAACCCCTATATCAATTTATTAGTTTACCGTTTATCATGTTTCATTTATTTAGATGCATTCTACACACAATCATTTCATCGATAGTTATTAATAGAAATACCTAATTTAGTTATCTACGTATTATATCATTATGAAATAAAATTCCTTGCAAAAAGATCAAACAAATACCGAAAGGCATATTTAATAACAATAATAATAAACCATGAAGCAATATGTCACAATTAATTTATTAACATTTGCGTACCAATTCCATGATTTTTGAAAAGAATGTAATTGTCTTATTTAATTTTTAATGCTAAAAACTTTAGAAAACTCACCTTTGAGTTAGCTCACTTGTAGCAAAATATAACAACAAATAGAAAAACAAAGAATGAAATTTATGCACAGGTCACTTGTAGATTTGTATTTTGAATACCAAATTTTATTCTTTCTTCTTTTGTTAGTGGTTGTTGTCCAACACTTACAATATTTTGTTGTCACGGAGTTAGAAGTGATTTTTCGAACAAATTATTCTACACTCTCGGAGCGTAGGTGAAAATGGAAATGAATAAAGAAGTGAGATACAGTTGTCTACGTCCTTGATCTTTTTTAATATAACTTAACACTATCTGGCTAATCTTATCACATTATGCTAAATAAAGCTTTTATTATATGTATGTGGTATAAGCACAATACTTTTGTTTACGTTTACGTTTGTCTTTCAAACACGAACATCCATGGAAAAAATTCACTGCTCGTTCCCATGTTTCGTTCACGTATTTTTGTGTTGGTATCGTACCTGCACGTGCCATTTTCCCAGGGATTATTTATCCCAATAAACTCATCGTTAGTGATAAAAATGGCAAATATAAGCTGCTATTAGTACTAGCGTTACAGCGATATTGATAATAATACAGGGATAATACACATATTACATTAGTAACGACTTTGTTATCAATTTTATTTGTAGTTTATCACAACAGCAGTTAAGCTCTAAAGGAAATAAAGGGGCAACGCTTTTTTACCATCGTCAATATTTTTTTTAGAATTAAAATTCATTTTTTGTCTCTGATATTAATATCTATATATCTTAAGACACCAGCAATTTGAAGTACTTCAGGTAATAGATATATAGTAGAACCTCTATAACTCGAACATCAGGGAAACGTCAAAAAATTCGAGTTATAGAGTTTTCGACTTATGGAGAATTTTGACTTGACTATATTCCTTAAGTGGTAATACTATTTATTGTATACGCCTAAATTGTTTTCTAAGAAGCTTGTATTGTGTACTTACATTGTCGGCAAATTCTTAAAGTTGATAACTTAGGTTTCTTCGAACTATAGACGCAATAAGTTTGATATTATCGAGTTGTAAAGGTTGTAAAATGTGTAAAACATTGTTATGTTCGAGATACAGAGGTCTAATTTAATTTTTCGAGTTAAACAGGAAAAACATGTACCAAAATGGCTTGCAGGGACTTACTGATTATTTCTAATCTTTCACTTATATTTAGAAGGTTGAGATTTCGAATAATGGAGATTTTGGGGCTTGAAGGGAAGGAAACAAAACATTTTTTCGAGTTTTGGAGGTTTTCGACTTATCGAGATTCTACTGTATTTATTTATTGACAATAAATGGAAATGTTCCACCCCTTAATTCAGGACTGCTTCAAGGGTAATTGTAAGGTTATTCAAATCTAATTCATACATTACGTAACGGAACAACAATTTAAAATGAAAACTTCAATTAAGATTATTCGTGTGGTGTATGATGACATCTCATATGTATAATTCCACACGCAGCAAATACTTAAGCAAATAGATTACCTACTTAATGCAGTTTAACGACCTTTTTGCGCATGTCGGTTTTAAACTGGCTTTCGTCGCCGAGTTGTTTTTCAATTTTCTTTTTATTTTTTGTTTTTTTTTTTCTCTCTAAAACTACGTAATCGTCCGGGGTTGAAATCTATTTCTTCAGTTCTAGCCGGGAACTCGGTTGATGTGGTCGGGTTGAACATACGGATTTTTTAGGGAATCGGCTTGCGACGTTCGAGGTCGTACTCCCTCGTTTCGGACGTTCAACGACGCGACGGACGGACAGGGACGCGTCCGTCGCGACGGCCGGACGGTCTAATCTCAGACACTTAGACCGAATTAGTCATTAGCCAACGTACCAGTTCGAAAGACGGGAACAAAATCGGGATAGTTCTCGAAATAGTGGCGTAACGAAGGCATCCAACCGCACATAACTGAGACGCGTTCGCTGCTGTAAGTTATGCAAAAAAACCGCTTCATGCCTGGCGAGAACCGCAGTTGCGATTTGGTTTTTGTTTTTCTGTTTTGGTACCTATCTAATGCTTTTTATGCAATTTTAAATAAGGCAATACATTAACAAATCTAAAGGCCAGGCAAACTGATGAGCATGACTAAAAGGTTAATACGACAAGAGAATATGCATCATATCAACATGCCTATAACAAACTGTCTTCATTAAGATTAAAATTAGATTTTTACAGCAATTTTAATAAATCCAATGAACAAGGAAGCAATTATTTCTTTTTTTAAATAACGTTTACTGAAATTATGTCTTTTCACAACTCCTATATTATAACAGTCTAAGGCTTTCACTTGCAAAATTCTGATTCATTTATATATATTCATATTTAGGGTAACCGAAGAATAAGAAAAAGTTCAAATTAAATCTGATTATTACTATATGCAAAAATGGATTTTCGGTGAAGGCTTAAATTAGAATGAAAATTGTCTAGCTTTCTGGACTAGATAGACATAAAAATTTAATCTTGATGTCTGCAAAGCTTGTACCTAACTGAATGCATTTTTAAATATTTCAATGAAAATCCCATAACTGAGAGTAAAGTTGACGAACCTGACATTACAATAAATTGGTATGACTCTAAAAATCAACAGTATGTATATATTTATAAAAATATTAATTTGCTACTTATTTGGATGATTTATGATGCTTAATAAATTTTATCAACTGTAATTAAAAAAGTCTCTAAAGAAACGACTGCATCTTTGGTGACTATGAGTTGTAATCGTATAGTAGAATTACTACTGTATAGATTTATAATAGTTATAGACGTAACTGTTTACATTTTTTGTTATGAGAATATAAAGATAGGAGATAAAAAATTAGAAGATGTGGCTAATTTTAGGTATCTAGGAAGTCAGATAAGTCAGAACGGAAGGAGTAGTAGGGATATAAAGCAGAGGATAGCGCAGGAGCGTGTCGCCTTTAATAAAAAGAAGTCACTTCTATGCTCGCGAACCGTTAATTTAGAAATTCGAAAAAGGTTGTTAAAGGTGTTTGTTTCGAGCACGGCGTTGTATGGGTGCGAAACATGAACAGTGGGAGCGGCGGAAAAGAAAAGGTTAGAAGCGTTCGAATTGTGGTGTTATAGGCGGATGATGAGGATAACGTGGGTAGAAAAGGTTAGAAATGAAGAGGTATTGGAAAGAATAGGAGAACAGAGGACTCTTTGGAAGACAATAAAAAATAGGCGAGATACGTTGGTAGGACACCTTCTCAGGCATGAAGGTCTAGTCAGAGACATATTAGAGGCAGAAACAGGAGTTAAGAGGAGTAGATGTAGATCTAGATCTAGATTAGATTACTGTTCGCAAATAGTTAAGGATGTGGGCTGTTCTAGTTTAAGGGAAATGCGAAGTTTAGCTCAGGATAAGGAAGAGTGGAGGTACGTGTCCAAGCAGTCTTAGGACTGATGACCTTATGATGATGATGAGAATATTAATTTAAGAGCAGTGAAATAAAGTCATTTCCTGTTGCGGTCATGAATAATTTGTGATTAAAATTTAAAATGTAAAACGGAGATGGATCATATTAGCTGTCCGTGAAGTGAATATTATCGCATATTGTTGATGCTTTTTTAACAATATTTTCAAATGCTTCTAAATTTGTCATTATATTTAGGAAATTGGTTCACCCAAGCGCCGTTTTTCCTATTTTTAAATTTTATGATAGGTACACTTTATTTTAAACTGTTGAAACTTAATGATTTTAACATTTTTTTCAAAGTTCTCTCATATGCACCTAAAGTAATAAAAAAGTGACAAACCGTAAACAGTCCAATGCTCATATAAAAAGGCAGGAAGCCTTAAAATCAAAATTTGACATAAAACCTCGTAAATTTCCTCACAATTGTCACATTCATCTACTAAAATAATATTTTTGTTACCGCTGTTTTGGCTTTTGTACAAGAAATTGTTTACTCTTTACTTAGAATTAATCAGCTCGCTAGTTTTGCCACTGTATATATCGCACCATCTTTTTCTATAAGAATAATGTCTATGAATAAGTTTATTAGCTTCTAAAATTGGCTATTTGGCTAATCGTAAAACATTTGAAGAAAAACAAATGACAATGACTGTCTGACTCACCGAATTCCAAAGCATTGAATTTGCAGTCAAGTTATTATTAATTATCCACAAAATTACGTAAAGTATATGTTTTTCAACAGCATTTTTGGATACTTACAAAATAATATTTCCTTATTACTGTCCGAAAAGAAAACGTAGATGTTCTCCCTTGTACTTTTTATTACATTTCTGCAAGTCTATAAATACGAAAACAGTTTCCAGAGACACAGTTTAGCTGACGATAAACATAATTTTTGCCCCAGGCTACGAGAGGGGTCCTAAAAATAGAACAACAGCATTGTTTTTGTAATGGATAATTGAAGTCGTTAATTTTAGGTTTCTCTACGTTCTACTGTTAAAAAGTATGTGTCAAGACCGATAGTTTTTAGGATCGTGCGTAAGTGACAAAAACCACCTCAAAGTGAGACACAGTTTCACAGTTTTACTCTAGACCCACAAAGTTGAAGTCCAACTACAGTCTCAAACGCAATATGTAACACATTTTGAAATTATGAATTTGTATGTAGGTACGTTTAACTATTTCGAAAGCTTTTCAAACATAAAAGAAATATGTTCGCAATAAATCATTTGTTAAAAGTATTGTTTGAGATTAATGTTGTCCCTTTCAATATGGATAGTCGTTTGTTCTTTCAAAATAAATAAATTGGAGTACTTCTGGTCGCCGAGAATAATAAAAATTACTGACTTTTATTATAAAAATAAAAGTTTTCGACTGCAAAACAACGAAAAAATAAAATTTTACAGACTATTAAACTATTTACTCGATCTGACTGTGATTTAGCACTCAAATAAATCAGATTTTGAAATTAAATTATAAAATTATTATTCTTTTTAAATTATCGAACTCAAGCGACATCGTAGGGATGTAAATATTAGGAAAAGACTGCTGTTTGTCAATTTTTATATCGATGCGATTATAAGATGCGATTAAAATTATTAAAGACAAGATAGCCTTAGGTGTAGACATCTCTGTGACAGAAAATTGACTTGCCTTTTTATAAATATATATTTAATTTGTCGTTAAGTATAATATGTTCCCGGATATATCGAAAAATGTTAAGGTAACTCCTGTTTTCTTTATAAAGGTGTCGAAAAATTGTTATCATCATATTAACTTGGTTTTGTTCCGAAAAGATCCACCAATT